GACAAGAGTGTAGTACAGCTCTGTTCAAAACATATACCATATTTAAATCCATTTCACTGAATCTTGCATATTTCCCTCCAAAATCAGTAGATATATATATATATATATATATATATATATATATTAGGGCTGTCAATAGATTACAATTTTTAATCTATTTAATCACACCCTTTTTCTGTGATTAATCGCACACTTTATGAAAGTAAGCATAGACCATTTATCTTGTTTCAAATGTTTATTTTGTCATAATTTGCAATATTCAGCAAAGTAAACCAAAAGATTGAAGGGTGATTCTCAAAAATCTGCATTTTCTGCAAGCTTTTTTCAAGATAAATATAGAAAATTTCCAAAAAAGGACTCCAAAAGAACTCCAAAACTCCAAAAGGAAACTCCAAATGGATACCAAAGAACCAAATGATATAAGGAGCCCATATAAGCACATATGAAAGAAAAAAACAATCTGAATTGTATAATATGTGTACAGTGCAACAGCAAATAGCTTTTTTCCATTTTAGAGAAGTCAAATTGCGATACCGAACAGGACCACATGGTGATGCCAAAAAAAACCTAAACCAACAGACGGCTGACTGCATATATCTACTACAGTACACGGATCCATTCAGGATAAATAAACAGCAACAAACACATGACAAATCAAAACATTATCATGGATGTGTGTGGAAACAACGTGAATGTACTGTGGTGAATATCCCGAGTCCCGAGTATCCCGAGCCGCGTCGGGATCCCAAAGGAAATCCTGACTGACCAGGGTACCCCCTTCATGTCCCGGGTCATGGCGGACCTCTGTCACCTCCTCAAAGTCCAACAGTTGAGGACGTCGGTCTACCACCCACAGACGGATGGCCTGGTGGAGCGGTTTAACCAGACGCTCAAACAGATGCTGAAGTGGGTGGTGGCCGAAGATGGGCGTGACTGGGACCTCATGATCCCGTACGTGCTCTTTGGAGTCCGGGAAGTACCCCAGGCCTCCACAGGCTTCACCCCCTTCGAACTGCTGTTTGGGAGACAGCCCAGGGGCCTTCTAGACGTGGCTCGGGAAGCATGGGAGAACCAACCCGCCCCCTTTCGTAGCCTCGTCGAGCACGTACGGGAAATGAGAGAAAGGATAGACCGGGTCATGCCATTGGTTAAATAACATCTCGTGACCACCCAGCGCGCCCAGCAACGGCTGTATGACCGGCCCGCCCAGGCCCGGGAGTTCCAGCCGGGCGATCGAGTGGTGGTACTGGTCCCGACAGCTGCGTGCAAGTTTCTAGCGACCTGGCAGGGGCCCTACATCGTAGTGGAACGGATGGGACCGGTGATGTACCGGGGACGGACGGAGCAAATCTACCACGTCAACTTGCTTAAGAAGTGGGATCTTCTTTCCATGGGGCTTTGTATATAAAAAAAAGTTTTTCATTGGGATGCCCAGTATATTGGGACTAGTGTTGTCAAAAGACCCGGTATTTCGGTACCAAGTCGGTACTAAAAAAATGAAAATGTTACAGTACCATGTTTTTTTAAGTACCGGTGGTACCGAGTACCCGGTCAACCCGGTTCTTGATGCGCTATCCAAAAGGTGTGCAGATGCACTCTCTTCATAAAAGCACTGAGACATGGCGACCTCAAAATGAGGAAACACTAACAAAACAAACTAACAAAACATTTTAAAGACAGACACCCGGATCAAATTAAAGAGTTCAAGCAGGTAAATTACATTTTAATTTTTAATATTTAGATCTTCTCAGTGTTTCCATACATTGATTTATTTGTGGCGCCCGGTTTTTTAAAAGGCTTTGACTTCGTTGAATAAACATGAGCACTGCACGTGTCAAAGTCGAAACAGGCGGGTGTTTTTATATCACTGTATTTCTGAAGGAAACCTACTGTCTTCAGAAAATGATGATGTAAATTTCATTTCATCTTGCCTGTAATGCCTGATAGCGTTTGTGAGTGCAGCGCTTATTTGATTACAGCTGTTACTGGGGAAAACTCTATCTCTCCCGCTCTACAAGCGCCTCCTGCTGGCAGAGAATGGAATTTGCATATATATGCCACCACAAATAGAGTGCAAGTCTGTGGGAAACACCGCTTCTGTTATGAATATTATTCCATATTTTTATTTGAATGTCGGATTGAAATGAACATCGCTGTTATTAGAGTAGTTAATTGTTAGCATAAGCGCGGCTAACGCTAATATAATGAGCATTAGAATGAAGCTTCTTTATTAACTATTTAATGCTCCTATAACTTTTATTAGGATTAAAAAAACAGGCGGACATAATGATATTTACTATTTTTACACACCAGAGGCTTTTAATTTAATTGTGAATCTAAAATATGCATGCTAGAGAATGTACAAATGGTTAACATTGTTTGTGTCATATCAGTGTCAGACTCTGGGCCAGGTTTTGTGTATGTCTTTGCTCCCTATGTGCTCGTCTCGTGCTTTGAATTCATTGTTCCCAGGTGTTTCCAATTGTCATTAGTTCCAGGTGTCCCTTGTCCCGCCCAGATGTTAAGCTTGCCAGTCAAGTTCGCCGGCAACGCATGTGGCAAGCCCTCCGGACATTAATGTGGCAAGCCCGCCAGACGTTCAACACTCCAGTTCGCTGACCACGCCTTTTCCCCCCGATCCAGAAGAGGAGACTAGGGGTGAGGAGAAGGGTGTCGGGCTTCAGCCCCAGAGCTCGCTCCAGTGTGGACCCAGACCACGCCTGTTCCCCCCGATCCAGAAGAGGATGCTAGGGGTGAGGAGAAGGGTGTCGGCTGTGGCCCCAGAGTTTGTTCCAGTGTCAGTCCTGTTCCAGAGTATAGCCCACGGAGGGCTCCTGATCCCGAGCAGATCCCCCGCAGAGCCTAGGAAGGGCTCCCGATCCCCAGTTCAGCCCAGGAGGGACTTCAGATCCCCCACCGAGCCTAGGAAGGGCTCCCGATCCCCAGTTCAGCCCAGGAAAGGCTCCCGATCCCCAGTTTCGCCCAGGCAGGGCTCCCGATCCCCAGTTAATCCCAGGGAGGGCTACAGGTCCGCAAGTAAGCCCAGGGAGGGCTCCAGTCCCCTGTCATGGCCCACGGAGGGCCTCAGAAACGGTAAACGTCCCCAAGTATTTGGGGGGGATGGGGGGGTAGTAGGGCTCCAGCCGTAGAGACCGAGGTGGGGGCTAAGGCTGCGGCCTCAAAGGAACTGTCTGCACCACCATGTCTTCCTGTGTTCCCTACTCCGCCATGTCCTCCTGTGGTCCCTCTTCCGCCTTGGCGTCCAGAGCTGACAGATCCACCATGGTGCCCCGCTCTGGAGGCCTCCCGTCTGGTAACCCTACTCCCCTAGAGGTCTCCAGAGCACCCCCCCCATTGGATGTTTTGGTGGCGTGAGGACACACTTTCTGGGAGGGGGGAGTAATGTCAGACTTTGGGCCAGGTTTTGTGTGTGTCTTTGCTCCCTATGTGCTCCGTCATCCAGTTTCTCTGTCTCGTGCTTTGAATTCATTGTTCCCAGGTGTTTCCAATGTTAATTGTCATTAGTTCCAGGTGTCCCTTGTCTTCCCCTCATCAGTTCCTGTGTATTTAAAGTGTGTTCTAGTTCTTGTCCTTTGTCAGTCGTTAAACGTCATCCTGTCATCCTGATGTGTCGAGTCCTGTGATCCCAAGCCTTTGTTCAATAAACCCTTTTGAGTTACTTTACTCCGTGTCTCCTCGCTCCTTCGTTCCCGTGTTCCCCGTGTGTATGAACCGTGACAATCAGTCCGAAAAGCACTTCTGGGCATTTTTTTTAGCTAACTTAGTTGTTATTCTTGGCTGAATAACTCTAGAAGGTTTTAAAAGCCCTTTAAAATTAAATATGTACACAGTTTGGATTAAATGAAAGTATAGTCCAATTTTTTAATTAGCATGTTTTTGTGTTTTGCTTTGGTACCGAAATTGGTACAGAGAATCGTGGATTTTCACTGGTATTGGTACCGAATACTGAAATGTTGGTACCGTGACAACACTAATTGGGACCATATCAGTTATCTGCTGACATTGTAGACCTTTTCTATTATCATATCAGTCAATATTGCACATTTAATTGTGCACGCTCCTTTGCCTTTTTTTATTTAATACATATGTGCATCCCTAGATTTTAATTTTGCATCGTTCTGAACAGAATCTGTATTTGTACATTCTTGACAGAACAAAAAAGAATAGTAAATAAATCTAATTGCTATGTGTTCTTAGTTCTTAACATATTAGATTTGACAAAATGTCAAGAATAAAGATGGATGATGTTAGATAACCCACCTTACCATGCACAGTCTTCTTGGTTCAGGCATGCGTTTGAAGCTCTATTGCTTGTTTGCCATCTAACTCTCTACCCACAGGTCACATGAGTGATATTTTAAAAAAGGATAGCGGGTGTGTGGAAAAGAGAAACTTTTGAGAATTATACTTAAGTCCTAGGGAACTCATTACTGCTTAATACATTATCAGTGCCACTGGCAGTGGTGCATCCTGTTACAAATACATCCACACAACACTCTGTCTTTATGAACCTCAGTACAAACACACATACATACACACACAGGCCACAGTGTCAGCCCCAAAAGTACTATTTAAGGCACTGATAAGTTCCCTTTACCACTGAGAACAGGGTCTCGCTGACACAGCACAGTAGAGGTTGCCATTAAAATTAATGTCCAGGGATTAGAAAGACACTTAATTGGGAATTAATAACAGAGAATTTACATAAGTTCCCTTTGCCACTGAGAACAGGGTCTCGCTGACACAGCACAGTAGAGGTTGCCATTAAAATTAATGTCCTGGGATTAGAAAGACACTTAATTGGGAATTAATAACAGAGAACTTACGAGAGGGTTAAATGTGTGAATAATTGTGCTATGATGCTAATGAGAGAATTATAATGTGAGAAAACTTGTTGAAGATCTCATGTCTATCACTCTCTGACTGACTGACAGGCCACTGGGAGGATTGCTGTTGATAGGAAATGCAGTCATACTCACAGCTGGCACTGGTCCCCTTTGACCCCTTTAGTGCTACAGTAGCATTTCCCTGAGCTGGAGTGGCACATGTTGGTGTGGTTGTTACATCTGCAGGCTGGAGAGAAGACAGAAGACGTAGATAGAGAAAAACAGAAAAAAGGGAAGAAGAACATTTTTAAAGGCATAGTTCACCCAAAAATGAAACCTCTGTAATTATTTATTTACTCCCATGTTGTTCCAAACCTGTTTGACTTAATTTTTTCTGTGGACAAGTGGGAAAAATTGGAGACTTTTTTCCCATGTACTTACAATGAAAGCTTCAATGAAAACCGACACTTTCACGCTTCAAAAAAAGACCCAAAAGCACCATAAAAGTAAAAGTAGTTCATCAAAATCTTAAAAAATGTGCATATTAGGAACAGACCAAAATTAATTATTCACTGATTAGCTTCGCTTTCATTGTGTTGTTATCAAAGACTATATACTAAACGCATACATAACTCGCTAACAGACAAAGCATGTAACTCACTTGCACGCTTAGCAGAAGCGACTGCCAACAAAACGTTTTCAAAGATATCCATTTCAGGTCAGCTGTCTGCAAAGGCTCAAATGGTGGCAGACAAACAATTGTACAGCAACACCTATCACATTCAAACGATCCTGGAAAAATGAGTCAGACATACTTGTAGAGAGCACGTCAAAGTCAGCATGAGATGGAGGAGAAGAACTAAAAGGTTCGTCATCCATTTTCTTACTGGGACCTTTCTCATCTTCTTGTGTAATAGCTACAGGTGAGACAAGCATAACAGGCTGGAGTGTCTAAAGAAGGCGTTTTATCTCTGACATTTCAGACGACAGGACAGCAACTGTCTTAGAAAGAGAAGCTTCATCTACCTTCTCGTTCCGGGATGTCGCCTTCTTAGATGGGGGAGCACCCGCAGCCGCAGATGAACCGCGTTTCCAATTCCGTGTGGTGGGTTGCGGCTCTCTTCCCCCAAGTCTTAGACGGAGCTGTCTCTCTGACATGGGTAAAAGGCTTCAGTGTAAACACGTTTCTGTGAGAGTCTCTTTCAAATGCTGAATTCTCAAGCAGGACGGACAAATATTGTGGCCATCGTAAGGCAGGAAAGCATTAGGGCACAGCTTCCATGTTAATGGGAATCCAGTAATGATAGAACCGTGAGCCATGACCACCACAATAACGGAACTGGCCGTCAAATTGCACCGAAGAATGCAAAGTATTAAGAAAACTGCCTGGAAAAATAGCAGGAAAACAATCGGCCTCAGCATATAAAAAACACTAGCCACCAGATAGAACCGCGAAGCACGAAGTGTTTCTCGAGATCCTTTCAGTGATAAGGTTAGGGAGGAACTGCCAACATATAAGCGTGGCTGAACCCCCTGCAGCTGAAAAAAACTGCATTCTCCTGGGGGAAAGATTGTACAGCAACACCTATCACATTCAAACGATCCTGGAAAAATGAGTCAGACATACTTGTAGAGAGCACGTCAAAGTCAGCATGAGATGGAGGAGAAGAACTAAAAGGTTTGTCATCCATTTTCTTACTGGGACCTTTCTCATCTTCTTGTGTAATAGCTACAGGTGAGACAAGCATAACAGGCTGGAGCGTCTAAAGAAGGCGTTTTATCTCTGACATTTCAGACGACAGGACAGCAACTGTCTTAGAAAGAGAAGCTTCATCTAACTTCTCGTTCCGGGATGTCGCCTTCTTAGATGGGGGAGCACCCGCAGCCGCAGATGAACCGCGTTTCCAATTCCGTGTGGTGGGTTGCGGCTCTCTTCCCCCAAGTCTTAGACGGAGCTGTCTCTCTGACATGGGTAAAAGGCTACAGTGTAAACACGTTTCTGTGAGAGTCTCTTTCAAATGCTGAATTCCCAAGCAGGACGGACAAATATCGTGGCCATCGTAAGGCAGAAAACCATTAGGGCACAGCTTACATGTTAATGGGAATCCAGTAATGATAGAACTGTGAGCCATGACCACCACAATAACGGAACTGGCCGTCAAATTGCACCGAAGAATGCAAAGTATTAAGAAAACTGCCTGGAAAAATAGCAGGAAAACAATCGGCCTCAGCGTATAAAAAACACTAGCCACCAGATAGAACCGCGAAGCACGAAGTGTTTCTCGAGATCCTTTCAGTGATAAGGTTAGGGAGGAACCGCCAACATATAAGCGTGGCGAAACACTAGCCTCCGGATAGCACCAAGAAGCACAAGGTATTTCACAGAAATCGTATATAAAAAGTGTTAAATAGCGGGGGACCATAACTATATCAACACGGAAAAATACTAGCCACCTGATAGCACCGAGAGGCACAAGTGTTGCACAATTTTATGTAAGATGAAAAAACTGAGCGGGGAACTGTCAGCAAATTTATCAGTAACACCAACCACCGGATAGTACAGAGAAGCACTAAGTGTTATCGATATATCAGCAAATATATCTAACAAAAAACTGCACTTGACAAGAGCGGAAATCGATTGAAGAACTGAAGGCTGAGCTAGTGTATCTATTATACTTGAGACTTTTTTGGTATATTATCTCGAGAGAGTATTTAGAGACCTAAATACAATGTATATAATGATTCAAAATAAGGGATTTCTCACCTAATTTATTGTGGACAGGGTGAAAATCTTAAGTTTGACTGCTTAAAAAACTAATAGCACACCTGTCTGCAACAGCTGCGGTTGATTAAAGCGTCCTAACAGGTATCTGAGGGGTTTTTTTACAGCCAAGAATGCAGGTGTTTGCCAGAACATTCATCACCTTCACAGAACAATGACACAGAGGTGATTGCACACTATGATGAGGTAAGGCTGTTTATGTTGATCTAGTCACATGTCTTTATTCTGTACACATTAATGAGCTAGTTTATTACTGTGTAATTTGTAAAGTATGGCTGTATTTGTAACACTACATGCCGAGCCTTCTCCGGTATAACTGATGTCAGCAGATTCCACATGCCTTAAACTCCCCCTCCGCCCAGAGTGTCATATTATACAATGCCATTAGACTATAAAATGAATGAGCTGCCTTTACAGAGCGACCCGGCATAAAAATGTTTTTTTATTGACTTGTTTAAATAGCATGGGATGGATCTACAAGTCAAAGATTTTATTTGGATCCAGATACGGCCGTAAAAAAGGCTGTCACAATTCAAAATAAAATAAATAAAGAGCAACAAAAAGAGAGAGAAGAAAAGAACACAGACTTTTTATCAAGAGGCTTTACAGCTTGTTGTTTTTTTATCTGCAGGTCTGTTCAAACTCTCTGTTCAAATTCCCCCAGCATGCACTGCAATCGCTCTTTCATTCCAGCCAACAAGAGACAATTGGCAAAGAAAAACAAATTTTTTACCACTCAAAATATTTTATTGGTGTTGTCTGCTAAGCGAATCACTATTATGACTGCTCATACTTTGTGTTAAAGGGTTTTTCACACAGTTTTTGCTATGGATATAAAATAATGAGAATGTTATGCTCATAATTTTCAATGCATTCAGACTTTTTGCCTGGCAATCAATAACGCACATCATCATCATCATCATCATCATCATAATTATTATTATTATTTTTATTATTATTAACTACTGTTCAAAAGTTAGGGGTAAGATTTTTTTTTAATGTTTTTGAAAGAAGTCACTAAGGCTGCATTTATTTGATCAAAAATATAGTAAATTGAGAAATATTATTACAATTTAAAATAGCCGTGTAATTCATTCCTGTGATGGCAAAGCTGAATTATCTAGCATTATTACCCCAGCCTTCACTGTCACATGATCCATAAAATATGCAGTTCTCATATGCAGTTTTGGACTGTTACAAACTAAATATAATTCGTTTTATATATTATATTATATTTTATATTAACCCAGGTCAGGGTGAGGTCCACTCTTTTCTGCAGAAAATTTACAAAATGTAGATGCAGGGCAAAATACTAGCACACATTAATAACAGTGCTTTAAACAGCGCAGTAACATAAAAGGCTTCAAATCATGCCAGTATAAAGGCAAGGAGTAGCATACATGATTTTCACATGAACTCAAACGTGCACATGCATGTTCTTACACATTTTTATTCTGGAAAAATAAGGACTCAGTTCACTTCCAGCGACTCGGCATCAGTGTGGAAAAGTCTAAAAGAAATCACCAACTACAAGACACCATCCCCCAGCACTGTGGAGAATCAACACCTGGCAGACGATCTGAACGAGTTCTACTGCAGGTTTGAAAAGACACCCCACACCCGCCCTGAACACCTCTCCACACAACCATTCACACCTCCAGCAACCCCCCTCTCCCCCGATTTTGTGTATGTGTGCATTTGTATTCATGTCATTTTGACAGGACTGTGGGGACAGGGCTGCCGCAGAGTGTCTGCACTGTGCATGCTGCAAAAAGATTTATAGCTAAATTATGATGTGTAAAATGTACTCACATTATAGCAGAGGAACAGCACTGCCTGGAGCTGCTGTTTCAGCACTTACTCTGAAAGCGATGGACTACAAACACAAACTCACTCTCACACGCAGGCCAATGCGCACACGTACGCTCGCATAAATATTTCTGCCAAAAGCCATTTAGGCTCTGGAAATTACAAAACACACACTCACAAACACGCATACAATGAAAGTAGTCACCTAACCATGTCTAACAAAACTCCTAACACACACAAACATTAGCATATATCTGACATGCTTCATTTAGATCCACAATAAAACTTAATGAAAGAAAGGAAATAAATATGAAAATAAAGGGAGACAGAAGAGATCAACTGATATTTATATGCAAACAAACCATGGAACATAAGTGACAGAAACCAGAGTGAAGTCTTTCATAAATCCTCACAAACAGATGCGTGCACGCACACACACACAAACACACAAACACAAACACAAACACACACACACACACACACACACACACACACTCATACATACACACACGACATTAAAATGTAAAGACAGAGCCCAAAAGGGGAACAGAGTCGCGTGACAGACTCAGTGATGAAGCTGGTATGTGTTTGCAGTACACAAGCCACGGTTAAGACAGCTGACTCCACTGTGATGTGACCCCCTCT